GATTATCTTTGAACCATTGGTCGGTGAGGAGTTCTCGTTTTATTTTCTTCGCTCCAGGGTCATCAGGGTTGGGGACCCTGCGAGGTGCAAGTTGATTGGCAGGTTGTGGATTGGGGATAATTGCCTCGTTAACCTCTTCTCGTTCGCTCTTGTATTGGGGTAGCCGGGATAGCGCATCAGCTAGGAAGTTCTTTCCTCCAGGTATGTACTTTAGAGTGAAGTCGAAGCGGTTAAAGCAAGTGCGGTGGACACAGTACTTTACTGTGCCCACAGTATTGTAACCGGTGCTGCTGTGCACAGAATTATTGTACGCCACCTCCGCCACCTCCACCACCTCTGGGAAGCGGAGGGCATCTGAGGAGCCCCGGGCCGTACACAGCTTCTCTGCTGCAAGTGTTTGGAGAACACCATCGTTTTTTCACTTACCCGGTGAGGGGCTCTCGCTTCTGGTTCCAAGCGCCCGGTGCGGGCCGGGCGCAACCCGCTCCGGGGACAGCGTCAGGTGGGGAGTTTGACTGGGGCGGTACACCTGTCAAACCGTAACGCCAGCTTTTATGTTTCATACGTTTCAGTGTTTCACCTTTATTACTTTCTTAATTAATTGTCCGGTCAGCAGTAGTCTTCAAGAGTTACAATCTGGTGTTGTAGAGATAAAATATATCTGCTGGCTTTCCCGGAAAGGAAACGTCTGTTGCATGTAGGGACAGCCAAAACTTTCATTCCCCCCCCCCTTTGGGAATTTCTTTTGAAAGCAAGATAAAAGTCTCTGGCTTTAAAAAGAACAGCTAGAGTCTGTTTGCAGTCTAGGTTTCCAGGGAGATGCAAACTCAAGAAGAGCGTCAGGACATTTCAAAAGAGTCAGAGAATAAAAACATGGTAAGGAGAGAGTTTACTGATCTAATGTAATCTTTCGTTCTAATAATTCTCTAAATGAAATGGATATGTGTAAAAATGATCAAATCCAGGACCTGTAGCTCAAACAACGATGGCAAAAACGGAGAAGCGGACAAAATCAGGTGAGTTTGCATTAATGTTTATTAGTCTCACGTCCAGGTCTTAATTGTTTAACTATGAGAGTATTAAACATTTTTTCAAAATTAATTTGAAATTTCAAATTAAGGAGAAATCTCCTATCAGTGACAATAATTAATCAGAGGAACGGCTTGCCTCCAGAAGTTGTGGGTGCTCCATCACTGGAGGTTTGTAAGAAGAGATTGAACAGCCATTTGTCTGGAATAGTATAGGATCTCCTGCCATGGACATGGGGTTGGACTAGAAGACCTCCAAGGTCCCTTCCAATTTTATTATTCTATGTTCTATATTCTTTGTAAGCACGTTTTTCCCCCTGTGCTTCCTCTAGAAAGCTCCATCTGCTCTGTAGATGCCTTTTCATTGTAAATAGGCAGTCTACTTAACATGATGGAGTGTTTCCTAAAGAATTCTCTATTATATTGATTCCAGGAAAGAGCATTGTAGTATCTATGTTGAGCTATTTTTGGTTTTTAACAATTACACTGTTTTATCTAGAGACACTAATTTACAGTAACTAAGCTTCTAGGATTAAAGAACAAGCATGACAAAGGACAAAGACTTAGCTCCCACCCCCATTATAATATATGTTCATTGAGTGGAATCTCTGATTGTTGAATAAGGGAGTCTAATACACATTAGACGTGATTAGAAAAAAATATATATGTTAAATATTTGCTAGGAGAGAAGGAAAAGAAGTTGCACGGTGACATTTATCTGGAACTTACCTTATTTTTTAAAAAAATCCAAACTACATAATATATTGCTTCCTTGGTTTCCCCTCCCCCCCTTTAGTCCTTAATCCTCTTCCTGAGTAGAGCTTCAACAGGTGGCATCTTTATAGTTTGAAAACTACAGCTCAGATTGGATTAGAACAGGGGGGGACTTCAAACTTGGCCCTTTTATGACTTGTGGACTTCAACTCCCAGAATTCCTCAGCCAGCATGGGGGAACTATGGCCCCTTCATGACTTGAGGACTTCAACTTCCAGAATTCCTGAGTCAGCATGAGGGAACTATGGCCCCTTCATGACTTGCGGACTTCAACTCCCAGAATTCCTCAGCCAGCCAATCCCTGGATTAGAGTTTGGATAGAAAAATCCCAACCTTGATGCAGAAAGCAAGCAACAATAATTTCCCCTATTTCCAGAGCTACTCAGCATTCACAAAGCAGAGGGAAATCCCAATAAATAGAGTGGGATGTTTTTGAGTAAATATTTATGAAAGTTGGCAATCCTTTAAGAACTTTTTTATATACAGGTAGTCCTCAACTTACAACCACAACTGAGTCCAAAATTTCTGTTGCTAAGTAAGACAGTTGTTATGTGAATTTTATCCTTCTTTACGACTTTGTGAATCACTGTAACTGTTAGTAACATGGTTGTTAAGTGAATCTGGCTTCCTCATTGACTTTGCTTGTCAGAAGGTTGCAAAAGGTGACCCTGGGACATTGCACCCGTCATAAATATGAGTCAGTTGCCAACCGGTTGAATTTTGATCCCATGACCGTGGGGATGCTGAAATGGTCATAAGTGTAAAAGCTGGTCCTAAGTCACTTTTTTCAGTACCGTTGTAATTTTGAACGGTCACTAAAAGAACTGTTGTAAATCGAGGACTACCTGTATTCCACAGAAATCCCAGCATATTGGGACACCTTGAAATGGAGGTAAAGCAGCTTTTGAATTAAGGGGAGTCAAGGAAGCACGGTCATCTTCTCCTTTCTCTTGTGTTTTTGAATAAACAGGTTTTGGAAGGCCGCAAAAGCATCTCTTGAAAAGTTTGTCTTCGAGAAGATTTGAGAAGGCACCAGTTGAAAAGATGAACATTTGCCTGTTCTTAAGAGTATTGTTTATTGGGAATTGACTGATAACAAGAACTGACCCAACTTAAAATCTACTAGATATGGATTGATTTCATGCTGTTTCTTTTGTCCCTGATTACACTGAAGAGTTACATCATTTCTCTGTTGAACACAAACGGATGTTTTTCATCTACAGTGAAAAAGGCAAGAGGATCAAGACATAGGAGAAAACTAATAGGTTGGTTCTGGAAAGCTGGGGCCTTCTAAGCTTGTGATGTCACAGAATTCTTGGAATTTCTCCACCAACTGTCATTTGGAGCCATTGAACTTCTGAAGGGCAGTCCAGAATTTTTGAATGTTCACCTGAAGAAAGCTACTGGGGAACTTGTGTCTGGAACAGCAAGAAAAATCGTTTCTTGATATGCCTCAGGACGGGAAGAATCCGAAAATATCCAAAGAGATGGAAGGAGAGCTAGAATGGAGCATGGGAGATCCTTTTGACCAGCTGGAGAAGCTCCATGGTCTTTCTGATGAGGAGAAAGGCGAGAAGGCCCTGCTGCGTTCGCGCCTCAACGAACAGTCTCAGTTGATCTGTATCCTCAAGAAACGAGCTGACGACCAACTGTTGCGCTGCAAGACGCTGGAACAGATCAACGCCGAGCTGGAGGAGACGAGAATGGGAGATGCTTTGAGGCTGGAGAATCAGACACGACGCATCCAGCATCTGGAACAGCGCTTTATGGACCTGGCTGCCAACCACGAAGAAATGATCCGCTTCAAAGACGAGCACAAACGACAGAATAAGCAACTCCGAGAAGAAAACAGCCACCTGCGTCAAGAGAACGAAAGCCTCTTCAGCCAGCCTCTGAAAGATAAAGAAGCAGAGCTGGCCCAGATTTCTTCTCAGTTCAAGAAACTTTCCACGGACATGGAGGCCTTGAAGAAAAGTTATCAACAGCACTGTCGTTCAGCCGAAGATCGAGAGAAAGAACTTCTGGAGGCCCAGAAAGAACAAACCAGAGTCTACACCAAGGAAACAGACTCTTTGAAAAGGCAACTGGACGTCTTGGAGAAGAAGCAGAAACGGGTCCTTAACCAACTGGAACAAGCAGAGAGCCAGCTCAGAGAAGCTGAGAGCGGCCTGCAAGCTAAGCTGGAGGTGCTCACAAAGGAGAAGGAGGACCTGCTGAACCTGGCCATGGAGAGAGGCAAGGTGCTTCAGGAAAAGCAACGGGAGATCCTTCAGCTAGAGAAGAAGGCGGAGGATATGGAGAAGGCCAAGCAGGCAGCCGAACTACAGTTTGAGACAGAAGCTGCAATGGTGGACAGTAACCTACGAGTTAGAGATCTAAAGCGCCGTCTTGAGGGGGCAGAACAAGCCTACTCGGAGCTCCGGATGCACTTTGAAGCTTACAGGAAGCACAGCACAGAATTGCTGAACAAAGAGAAAGAGTTAAATACCAAACTGCGTCACTTTATGGCTTAATGAGCATAGTTAAGGTTTCCTGTCCATCTTGAAGCCTTCTTTTAAGGAAAGACTCACCTTTTAAGAGATCGGGGTGTTTTTTCCTAACGTAGTTGCTAAATATAACACCTTTTATTCAGAGTTAGATAGAATGATCACTCGTGGGTTGTTGCCATCGCTATGTTGACCACTCAGCCCAGAGAGATGTTGAATACTTAGAATATCTTAACAATAAATGTGTCAGGATAATAACACTTTCCAGTCCGAAGTCGAGAATTTGCATTTAAACCTTCGTGCCATTTCTAACATGTTTATTTTTGTCCCGGAGTCGCTTGGGTTATACTAAAAGCATTTTAAGATGCTGCTGACTGGCCTGCAGGTAGTCCTCGACTTTCAACCATTCGTTTAGCGACTGCTCGAAGATACGACGGGTCTTCGCGCATAGGACTGTGGCCGCATCCCCATGGTCACATGATCAAAAGTTGGGTGCTTGGCAACCAGCATGCAGTGTCCCGGGGTCATGTGATCACCATTTGCGACCTTCCCTGCTGGCTTCTAAACCAGCAACGTGAATGGGGGAAGCCGGCTTTGTTGAAGGACTGTGTGATTCATTTAACAACTGCAGTGATTTGCTAACAATTGTGGTAACACAGGTGGGTAAAGTCAGGCGTGACTCATTTAATAACCACCTGGCTTAGCCACAGAAAATATTTTTGGTGGTCATAAGGACTACCTGTAGCCACAATTCTGGATGGAACTGAATTTAGAAGACGGATTTCAGGTGGATGTTAGGAAAATCTTCCTGGCGGTAGAGGTAGCGGAGCAGTGGGATTCATTGGGAACACCTAATCCTGGTGGTTGGCACCCTCCCTGACCTGGGAAGGTGACCTGTGCTAGGGGAACGGCTGCCCCTGGTGCTGGCAGAGTGACAGGTGCCACTGGGGCCACTAGCACCACCAGGACAGACAGTATCAATGGGGCAGGAGTTGGTTGAGTGCCTGCTGCTGCTGGATTTGGTGCTTGGAGCCAGAACCGGTTGATCTGGACAATCGCAGAACCTAAACTCCAGGAATTCGTCTTTGACGAAGTTGATTGCCTGTTCGAGGGTCGCAGTTTGGGAATCCTGGATCAGTTCAAATAGCTCTGCCTGGTAGTGGTCCCCCCTTTCCTAGATAAAGGTAAACTTGTAAAGGTTTCCCCTGTCCAGTTGTGTGCAACTCTAGGGGCAGTGTTCATGTCATTTCTTAGCTGAGGGAGCCAGCATCTCATGACTCTATGCCGAGGTCACCAACCTTTGTCGGTTGGCGGACCGGAGGAAAAGAGAGGAGGAAGCATTGTGCACATGTGCACATGTGCGCACGGGGCCGCAAACATGTGCGTGCCGCAAACGGGGTGGGGTTAGTGCCCATGTGATACTCGCTAGCACTGCCCTGTTCTTGCATGGCACAGCACCTTGTTTTTGTGTCCCGTGACGCGGTGGTGGCTGTTTTGTGCCTTGCAACACGGCGGCGGTACTTTTTGCACCCTGTGTTGCAGCGGCGTTTTTGTGCCCTGAGGCATGGTGGCAATGGCATATTTTCACACCCATGGTACGGCATCCTGTTTTTGTGCCCCCGCAGCCGTGGCACCAGCACAAGTGAGGGGGTGAGCACACGGGTGTGTATTGGCCCCCCTGTCCTGCAGCCTGGTGGCTGCAGCCCACAGGTTGGGGACCCCTGCTCTACGCCAAGGAGCACAGAACACTGTTACCTTCGACCAAAGTGGTACCTATTTATCTACTCGCAATTGCATGCTTTCGAACTGCTGGTGCAAGGAATGGGAGCATACCCCATTGCACGGAGCTCGGATCTCAAACCCAGGCTGTCAGCTTTCCAGCTGATAGGTTCAGCATCTTTAACCACTGAATCACTACTCCCTGTTTCTAGATATGTTCAGGTAGACCAGTGGTTCTCAACCTTCCTAATGCTTTGCGGGAGGGCTGGCCCGCTCAGCGGAGGCTCTGCAGGGATCCCAGGACTTCCCTGCACGGTTCCCCGGCCACGTGCACTTCGGAGGGGCCAGCCAGGGAAAGGGCCTTCCTGGCCACACTTCTCCCAGGGGACAGGGCACCCGGCTGCAGGGCCAATCAGGACCTCTGCGAGGGGACAAGTCTGCATGAGAGAGAAAGAAAAAAAGAGAGAGAGAAGGGAAGCGCAAGTGCCTCTCTGTCTCTCTCTCTCTCTGCAAATGGCGGAGGAGGCTCCAGAGCCGCAGGAGGTTAGGCGACCCCAAAGGGGTCGTGACCCACAGGTAGAACCGCTGAGGTAGAACCGCTGAGGTAGAACCAAGGCAGCTATTAGTGTTTAAATATAGCTTCCTGCATTGCTCAATGGCTCCTTTTTTGATTCTACAAACCCCAGGATTTTACAAACAGGATAAGGAGCAATGCAACAGCCATAAGGTGAAGGAAGTGCCTTGTTGAGGAGCTAGTTTCCAAACAGGCAGCAAGATGTTTTGAGGAAAATCTTCTGATATTGAAAGAAAGCTGACAGTGTTTAACTACGGTTCATTGAATAAGCCATATTTTTGCTGGATTCAAACAAAATGCTGAGCTATGAACCACGGTTGACAAATTTAAGAGGTCTTGGTTCCCATCACAGAGGAAAGTCAAAATAATTAAACCAGACTATGGCTTAGAACATAATAGAAATAGAATGTAAGTTTTTAATCTCTGTAACTATGCTTCAATTATATTCACGGAAAACACTTAGCCTGGCCTATTACCGATCTAGTGGCTGCATTTAGGGATTTCAGTGATCCATTATTACTGGAAAAATTTGATTACAACTCCTGAGATCTTGTCTGTCGCTTGCCATATGTTTTAAATATATTTTTTACTAAAAGTTTTTTTTTCTTAATATAAAATACAAATAAAAATAAAGAATGGAAAAAAAAGGAAGTGGGATAGAGGAAATGAAGTGATGGAAGAGGGAAAAAGAAATTTATAAAAAAGCAGTAACTTGCAAATTTGTTGGTGCATTCAGGTATGTCAATGAAGTTATAGTATCAACTTTTTACGGAGATTCTCAGTCATCCAGGTCATGGTTGTCCCAAAGATGCTTTTTTCATGAGGCAATTGGACTTTCTTGTTTTTCTTTGAAGACATTTCGCTTCTCATCCAAGAAGCTTCTTCAGCTCTGACTGACTCTCCCTCACCCTCCAGTCAGAGCTGAAGAAGCTTCTTGGATGAGAAGCAAAACGTCTTCAAAGAAAAACAAGGAAGTCCAGTTGCCTCATGAAAAAGCATCTTTGAGATATTAACTTTTTAATTATACCAGATAGTAACTACTAGCCATTTCTATAGCAGTAACCCACTTAATTGTCAAAACCCAAAAGTTGTCAGAAAGATTAAAATTTAACTTTCGCTTGCCATATTCCTTAGAAATTCCATTCAGTTCTGATAGAAGTAAGTCTTCATCCTGGTTCATCCAAGCCGGGAATAAATAAGCAAACATGGCGACTGCTTTGGGAAGAAGATTACAGTTTATTGCAGAAGAAAGATGGTCCTTGCAAGGAGCAGAGGAGAAGAAAGAGACTGAGCACATGGGTAGAAGGTTTTTTATACCCCCTCTAGCCCTGTTTGGAATAGTTTCCTGTTCCTGTGGCATGAACTTTGAGGATATTTCTGAGTGTTTTTCTAGGCCTTGATATCTGTGGTTTAATCCTATTATCATATTCTGCTTCCCAGGTGATGGGGCTAATGACTCCTAGAGTTTGGGTGGGGCATGCAGATTTTCTCTTGATTGCTCTGGCTTCAACTTTCTGATGGTTTTACATCTGCATTTGTATGGGGCTAGGTCTTGCTTGGGGCAGAGAGATTTGGAGCCAAAGTTGGTTTCTGCTTTTTTAAAATACTTTTGAGGAAATATATATTTCTGCCCTTTTAATATTTCCTTCTCTGGGGCTCTGACTTCCCACAGTTCCTATAGCTTTCGACCAGTCATGAACTAACTTTGTCTTCTAATCATAGAGGATGTGTGAAATGAGTATCGTCTAAGACTTTCTGGGCACAGAGACCTCTATTTTCAGGATCGGCTCTAGACCAGAGGTCCCCAACCTTTTGGGCACCAGGACTAGTTCCGTGGAGAAAGGTTTTTCCACAGAACAGAGGGTACCTGGTTTTGTGTGCTGCCTGCATCCCACGGATGGGGCTTTGCTTGTTTGTGTGGACCGGTTGCTGGCATCCCACAGGCTGGGGATTGGAGACCCCTGCTGTAGACATTTTGGGATCCTGAGCAAAGTCCTATTCCAGTGCTCCATATGATTTGGTTCATCTTCCATTTTTTTTTAATTTAACAAGAAATCCTTTTGGGGTTTTTTTTTCTTCAAATTTTTGAGGTGTATGCTTTCAGCCCTGGGTATTTCCCCCCCCCCTTTGAGCATCCATTGTTGTCATGGCAACAATTCTGCAAAATTATATTTGACTCTTGAGCAGGTACGCTGCTATATGAATTATGTCAATGGCATTTTCTAGGTATAACTTTGATAGTTATTACAATTCTCTTGCTCACAACCTTCCAATTGTCTTGTTTTGTAATATTATCAGTTTCCTGAGGTACATAGTTGTAATAATTTTTTTCCTTTGACTTGCAGTGCTTGGTTTGATTTGATTTGAATTGGCAGTTCAATTCCATTGAACTCCGGGCATTGCCCAAAACTAAAAAAACCACGTAAGAACAGCTAAACACATCCAACAGGCAGCTCAGACTAAAACACTCTAATAACAAAATCCATAAAACAATAGTCCGCTGTTCGCTACCACTTGCCCAATTTTATGTTTTCAAAAAACATATAAAGTTCTAAAAAGCAGGGGTCTTCCAACTTGGCCCTTTTATGACTTGTGGACTTCAGCTCCCAGAATTCCTCAGCCAGGCACGCTGGCTGAGGAATTCTGGGAGTTGAAGTCCACAAGTCACAAAAGAGCCAAGTTTGAAGACCCCTGTTCTAAAGGAACAAGAAAGATTGTCACACGTTGTACACCCATTGTGCGTTTCGGGAGCCACTAAATTTGCTCCACTAAATTTTCTCCTGCTTGAGCGGGGGGGCTGGACTAGACGACCTCCGAGGCCCCTTCCAGCTTTATTCTATTCTAATTTTCAATAGGTTCCGCGTTAAACAGCAGCCCGCCTGAAGCCACGCCTCTCCCCCTGCCGGACTTCTACTCCCAGAAGGCTCAGGAAGAGCGCCGGAGCGTGCGCAGGCGCAGTCGCGCCGTGGGCGGTTGGGGAAGGCCGCTGCGTGAAGAAGGACGGGCGAGGCCGGCGGCGAAGGTGGGCGCCGCCAACGCCTCCCCACGCCCTCTTCGGGGAGAGCGGCGCTGAGGCGGGCCTGACCGGAAGGCCCACCGTTTCATCCCAGCCGAGACCGGAGTACCGGCTCGGCTCGGCCGCTGTTATGCGCCACAGCCTGGCCCAGCTCTTAGCGGCCTCGTCGGGGCAGGGAAAGCCCGGAGAGCCGGCCGCGGCCTGCTCGTTTCCAAGCCCGGCGGCCGAGCGGCGGACCGAAGAGGAGACCGAAGCGGCAGCCGCGATGGCGGCCGAGGACTCCCTGGAGGAGCCGGACGAGGGCGAGCTGCTCTTCCCGGCGGGGCTGGAGCTGGACGCCTGGCTGGAGGCGGCGGTGGTGGGCGGCGGCGGCGGCGGCGGCGAGGCCTCTTCTCCTCCGACCTGGGGCGGGGCGAGTCCGCCGGCCGAGGAGGCGTCGGCGTCGCGGCCTTCGAGCTCGTCTTCTTCTTCTAGGCCGGCGCGGCCGGGCAGCAACCGTCTGAAGGCGGCGGCGGCGGCGCGTCTGAACCGGCAGAAGAAGAAGCTCTACGTGCAGGGCCTGGAGACGCGCCTGCAAGGCCTGGCCGCCGAGAACCGGCAGCTGCGCGACCGCAACCGCGGCCTCTGCCGCCGCCTGCGCGACCTGGAGCGGGAGACGGGCTACTTGAGGGCCGTGCTGGCCAACCAGAGCGCCTTGGGCCGCCTGCTCGGCCGCCTGGCCGGCGACGGAGCCGGCAGCCTGGGCCTCCGCATGAGGGTCAGCACCAGCCTCTTCCAGGAGACGGCGGCGGCGGCCGGAGCCTGCGGCGAGACCGGCGACCACGACTACGCGCTCCCGGTCCGGGCGGAAGACCCGGCGGAGGAGAAGCTGCGCCCGTCGTCCGGCGGCCCCGGCGGCGTTTGCCTCCACGTGGACCGCGACCACCTTTCGGTGGAGTTTTGCTCTCTCTGCTCCAAGCGGGCGGCCAGCTCGGAGACTTGGGCGGCCGCTCCTCTTCTTCCTCCTGCTGCTGCTGCCCCCTCCTTCATCTCCAAAATGTAGGGTCAAGTATTTCCACTTCTTCGGGCCTACGCAGAACTTAAAAATACTTCGGGGGTCTCGGCCTGCTTGCCGTCATCCAGGGGGTGCTAGCGGAGGATGCAGTTAGGAGAGAGAGAGAGACAGACAGAGAAGAGGAAGAGGATTTAAAAAGAAAACCTAGATAAATGGGGAAAGTGATGATGAAACTGGCTTGTTGGTAGAGCCGCTTTTGCTTTAGTGGAGGAGGAAGAAATGCAAAACTTCCCTCTCTTTGTGTTGGAAGATCATCTTGCCGTGTCAGGATGGGGTGGTGTCCAGGACGGCCGCAGTGGTGTTGTGTTGTCATGGCTGAAATGTTTGCAGGCACACATTGATCAAAAAACGGCTCTTGTCACTGAACTGCAGCATGGGCACCCTTGAAAGCAGGTAGACAGTGGTGGTTAAGAATGGGCCCATGAAATGAATAAACGGTGGGATAGATTAAAAAAAAAATAATCTAGCCCGCTCTGTTGCTTTAAAAGAAGCTGAAAATAAAATGCATAAACTTCAACGTCTTCACTGGAGAGACTTAACATCCAAATAGTAATAATGCACAGCAGGCAGTTTAAAAAAAACAAAACATGCATGTGAAATTGTAAGGCATCTGTTATACATTACTATTAAACTTTTCTGACAGTTTCTCTTTTAGGTGCTTGCCCTGCCAGGCTTCGTTGTGTAGGGGTTAAAAGAACAGTCGTTTGCCACCTCGCAACCTGGTAAGGATCCATAATATTCCCATAATGTGGTATCGGACAGTTTGCATTGGTACTTAGCCTGTTTTTCTTTACAAAAATATTTGGCCTGGCCCAGGAGTTAGAAGTAGCTCTGGAGGCATTTCCTAGAATCAGTTAATTTTGATTAATCAAGTTTCAAGTAATGGCACTACTTTTCCCTGTCATTCTAAATTTTTAGCATGTTCCTGATGAGATACTTGTAGACATTATTTTATGTAATATTTTAATAGGTTAGGATTATGGGGGGGGGGGAAATGCTGCTAAATGTACATTTAGCAATGTGTTGCGTGGTGAAAGGGGAATCAAGACCATTGTTTTTGACTGAGGCAATGTGAGTATATCTTTAAAGAAATAAAATATACCTCAACATTTACTTTAGAACTTGGACTTTTCTAGTGGAGTAAACTACTGAGTTTCGCAGCTTTGACAACGTTTAGTAATGAGGCAATTGCTATAAGATTTTCCAGTTCACAAGAGATGGATTATTTGTCCATATACTTGGCTGTTCAGTTACTATAATAATGTGTCCTTATCTGCAAGGAAGCAAATAAACCGACATTTTAGTAATGTCAGTGTTCTTTCACTACATCGCTGCATGCATTTTGAAGACTACCTAGAAATATTTTAGTCTAGTGAATTTTGTTTAGTTTTAAAAGTCTCATGTAGGTCTCTTAAAGTGGGACCTGCATTTCACTAAACTACTAAAATGAAAGTGGCATGCCAGTTTGAAGTTTTCAGAAATAAGGAAAAAGTAAATGAATATTATCCCCCACACATTTATGCAATTGTTCCTATCTAGGGTGAAGGAAGATTTTCTGCTGACAAACTCATGCTGGTTTGGGGGCTAGCACATGTTTCCCCTGCATCAACTGTCTGTTCTGTTTAAATGCTTTATATTTAAACTTCTGTAAATTGGGGACATGAGGGTTGTGAAATAATGTAAAGTGAGGTTTCACAAAGAATGTTAAACCTGGAAAAATAAAAGAGGCTTCCTCTCATCTTGAATTAGAAACAGATTGAATATTTCTCCTGTAAATGAAATGCAAACTCCTTCAAAATCTGTTGCACTCTATTATGTGTTCAACCACAAGATTTTCTTTGTGAAACCTTGCTGTTTAATGAAGTATGTGTATATTTAGCATCCTTGTTTTTCTTTATGCTGAAGTGGATACAGCTGTCATGGGCAGAAGAGACGGGACCAGCTGCTGGCCACCCCTTCCTGCTTTATTTTAAAAGGTAGTATGAGAAAAAGGGAGCAAGGTAACAGGGCACTGGCTGTATTTCACTTTGGAAAAAAAAACACTGAAGAGGGTAACGTTAATGTTTTGAGCAACTAATCCAATCTAGCAAGAAATTAAATATGCTGATGTGAAAAGTGGCATCATTTAAAAAGTGCATTTGCTTTCTCGCTGGTGGTTTCATTTATTCCTATTCTGAAATTTACTAAATTGTTCAAACTTATTCATGTATCAGATGATTAGCTTGACCACACCTTAAATTTTCCAATTTAAGCATTAGGATTGCTGCGAAGATGATTTTAATTCTAATTGATGCAGCTGTTTACCTCTCTGTTATCACATCTGCTATATAAATGTACATATTCCAATCTCTAAATCAGTAGGAGCATCTACAAGGAAACTGACAAGTCTTAAGGCAGCTGCAGCATGGCAGAGAACTAATTTCTTTGCCAATTCATTTCTTGATATTATCCTATACTTAATAACAGTGGCTATTTTTAGAAGTCTTTCTAAATGTAATAGTCCTTGCCAGATAATAAACTGAAATAGGAAAATGTGGATAAGGTGTTCCTCAGTTTTTAATCATGCTTCAATATCTTTAAATGGCAGCAATTCATTGTCCATAATTCATTTATTTATTCTCTTGGGACTCAATTGAATTTAGTGGTTCCTTTTTTCTATGGTTGATAGCCATGGGCCAACAGGAGGAAAGATTTGTGACACATACTTGTATCTGCGGTTGTATTCCAAGAAGCAAATGCATTTTTAAATTGCTTTTCACAGAGGTTGTTAATGTTGCATTATTGTAAAATTGAATCCTCTTTTCTTTTGTATGATTTAAAGTATTTGTGAGATTAAAAAAAATATTCTGGGTATTTAACCATGTATATGTTGAAAAATAAACTGTTGCCTTGAATACCATTCTCAACATAGAAAGTGAGTGACACATTTGCTTAGCTAGAAGCCCAGAAGTGAAGACCTGCAGGGATTTTAGTGCCTATTAAAACATATTCAAGCCAAATAGATTTGCAGATATTTTGTCCTTGTTAACCAGTTGATTGAATATTTCTTGAAATTAAAAGCCTTGAATGGAATACCCTAATAGTACTTCAAAAATATGTCAGTGTTTCTGTGTAAGTAATTTAGGTGTACTTATGAGGACAGCTATTCAAATTAAAAATGTTTACCTTTCAGTCAAAGACTCAAGGCTGTTTTTTTTTATCAGATCCCTTAATTTTCTATAAAATAGTGGTTTAGCTGGGTGGCTCATTCAGAAATTATTTGTGCGGTGTTAAGAGATGTATTATAGATTAACCAATATAATTATATGTGTATTTTTCTGGTTGGGGATGGATGTATATTAGTGTTCAGAGGTTGTTTTTTTTCTGTGATTGATAATGCTCTAGCACAGGGCTTTTCATCCTTTTCACCCATTGTACCACTTTTAGGATATGGCAATATCCGAGTACCACCAGTTAGTCGCCTAGCAAGGTGTCAAAAACTTGATGACCAAAAAAAGGAAAAACGTGATAAAGTACAGGTAGTCCTCGACTTACAACAGTTCGCTTAGTGACTGTTTGAAGTTACAATGGCACTGAAAAAAGTGCCCCCCAAGGCACAGCCAAGCAAGACACCTGCCTGCTCGCCCGGCGGCGCTCTTCCTCCTGTCCGAGGTTTTCATTGTTATGAGCATTTCTGTTGAGGATTGACAGCGGGGGTGGGGTGGGGGGGTGTTTGGTTTTTATTCCCCCGTCTGCTGGGTGGTTGCAGCAGGTTTTGATCACTTCACATGACCCTGGGACACTGTGACCGTCATAAATATGAATCAGTTGCCAAGCATCTGAATGTAAATCACAAGACCCTGGAGATGCTGCAACATTCCAGCTGATCGGCGCTTCTCCTGGGCTCAGCAGAAGCGCCAGGATCAGCGCCGAGTTCCAGCTGGAGCCTGGCGCTGATCCTGGTGCTTCCGCTGAGCCCTGCAGCTCCAGCCATCTCTCGCTCAGGCTTATGCGGTGCTGCCACCGCTTCAGCTCATTCCCCTCCCCCGCTACCACTTTTCTAGAATGGTCGCGTACCACCTGCCAGGTGTCAATGTACCACAGGTGGTACCTGTACCACTGGTTGAAAAGCCCTGCTCTAGCAGTATTTATTTAGAAAGCTTTAATTTTTCTGTATCATTTCATCACATGCTCCCAGGATGATTTACCTAACATAAAAATTGCAGAAGTAAAAACAAATAATTGAATATTTCTTTTAGTATGGAACAGGCATGTCAAACTCGCGACGTCATGTGATGTCGCATGGCATATCGTGACTTCCCCCATTGCCGGCAATGGGGTGGGTGCCGTTTCGGTGTGACGCAGTTTGACATGCCTGGTATAGAAAATAACCGCTAATCATATCCTTTTCCTCAGGCAAAATTTATAGATCCCATATATATATATTTCCATGCTTGAGAATAATAGTCATATACAAGGCAGTTAAAACCACTTATTTTTAGAGATTTTTATACTTCTGATTTTTCAGCCACTGTTTAGAAATGTACTTAACACAAGATTAAAAAAACAGTGACAAGGTTTAAGCAACAATGAGCAAACCCAGCACTTCTGCATTCACAAATAATTTTGTAAATGTTGATCACTAAAAAACTTACGTATGTGCAGTGACATACTTCAGCTGTGGCTGAATTATACCAACTCAAAAGTGTACTGTGTATATTTTTCCCAACTTCCCTGGGAAACAGGCTGCTGATTAAAAAAAACAAAATCCTTACAGATAGTTCTCAACTTTCAATCATTCATTTAGCAACTGTTCCAAGCTATCATGGCATTGAAAAAAGTGACTAATATTGAGGTATCTGTGGTCACATCGTCAAAATTCAGGCGCTTTACATGTATTTATGACAGTTATAGCCTTCTCAGCTGGCTTCTGACGAGCAAAGTCAATGAGGAAATTCAGATTCACTTAACCACGATTCATTTAACTGCACTTAATTGGGGCAGAAATGGTTGTAAAATCGGTTGCAACTCACTTAAGAACTGCCTTAGAAATTCTGGTCCCAATTGTGGTTGTTAAGTCGAGGACTACCCTTATTCAAAACAAGGTTGTTGCATGATTCCATGCATTCTAATTCTTGATATGCCACATATTAAATATGCCTGTCATCCCAGCTTCTCTCCCTCCGTGGACATCAAGGCAAACTCATTTTTTCACCCATTCGTGTTTTTTTCTTGGGGAAAAAAAAATGGCAGTAAGCCTCCCCCAATTGTTTCTCCCAAAGCCATACAGGCACAGACTCTCTCTCCCCCCCCCCAAAAAAAAACACCTTTTAGCTAAGCCAGGGGTGTCCAACTGTGGCAACTTTTAAAATCTCAACTCCCAGAATTCTGGGAGTTGAACTTGACACATCTTAAAAGTAATTAAGGTTAGATATCTCCGAGGTAAGCCTTGTGCAAACTCACATTTCGTTGAAAAACAATTTGGTACTACCAAAACAGTGTTTAGTTTAATTTTGTTCATAGAGTTAAAATTTGAAGCGGCCATTTAAACATTTGGGGGTCAGTACTTTGCTCAGTGCTTGATTATACCTATGCATTTTGGAGTTTTTTTCCCTATCAATTCCACAAAGTTTGGTATTTATGGCTGTTATTTTTGTCAGTTTTTATAAATATAAGAAACTGCAGTACGCTTTATTGACTAAAAGGATGTTTAATTAAGTTCAGACAATGCAGTTCGTTTCAAGAAGCAGGCCCTGGCGTAGTCATGCTGGCCACATGGCCACAGAAACATGTTTGGACAATGCTTGACTCCCTTGGCTGAGAAACTGAGATATGCACTATGGGATTTTGCAAAACGAGTTGCGAGCACCTCTGGGGAGGTTTGTTGTCACTTTGAGCTGTTTTTAAGCAATTGGTTGTAAGTTGAGGACAAGCCTATATTGTTAGCTGTGTTAGCATTTTTTATTCACTGGGTAGGTTGAGTTATTGCTGGACTCTTGCATTAAATTGCCCTCCATTTTGTTTTGTATTGTGGAAATAACAGAGGAAATACTTGTCTCTACTCTCCCATGTATGGATCAGCAATCTAGAAAATATTGTTCAGTGCTCTTCATGTGCTCCGGGAAGGGCTCTATGAATTGGATGCATTTGCTGCTGTGTGCATATATAGATAAGTATATCTATATACTTTGTATAAATAAGTATATCTCTATACAACTTCTTTTTCAGCAGTAGCTCTTGAAGTCCCTCCCCAAATGTTTAGGGGTTGCTTTTCTCATTCACCCAGTGTTGGTTACTATCTTGCAGTACAGCATCAGAGGTTGATCCCTTTAAGATACTTCTTGAGATATGTGTGTGTGTGTGTGTGTGTCTCAATTTCTCTTTTTTCAACGAAGTTGATATAAATGACCAAAACCAGACTAGAATGTTCAGAAGTTATCCAAAGCTTGAAAGAACTCCAGTCAAATAAAAGCTAAACACCTTTTAAGTTTTATTCTCCGATTTCCTGAGGATCCCTTCCGGGTTCAGGCATGCGGGTCATTTTGAGATATATTTCATGATGTCTTGAGCCAAGGTACGCTCCAAGTGCCACTTGGATGAAAGCACCAAACCTCATCGTTTTGAAAATGGGCTTGCTGAGCGCTACCCAGAATCGCACTGCATTCTCTTTGCTTGGCAAGGGAGCAGTATAGTACCTAGAAGAGAGAAAATGTTACGAAGCGTTTGGCCAAGATCGCGATAACTCAGGAATTGCAGCTTCGTCACTCTGTTTAAAAAAAGGACCCATTTCCCACTTTAAAACAGACTCTACTATTGAGAAGGAAATAAATTGCGGACAGCTTCTTTCTAAAACTGACCATCTCTGAGTATGAAGCTATTGTTATACAAAGGAGGATACGGGTAGATCTCAACTTGCAACCATTCGTTTAGTGACCGATTGAAGTTGCGACGGCATTGATAAAAATGACCCGTGACCATTTTTCACACTTTGTGAACTGCATCCCCGTGGTCACGTGATCAACACTGGCAACTGGCTCATGACGATTGCCGTGTCCCGGGGTCAAGGGATCCCCTTTTGCAACCTTCTGACAGGCAGAAAGTCAATGGGAAAGCCAAACTTGCTTTACAAACGTATTACCAGCTTAGCAACTGCTGTGATTCGCTTAACAACTGTGGCAAGAAAGATCGTAAAACGGGCCAAACCTCACTTAATAACTGACATGCTTAGCAATGGCTCAATTGTGGTTGTAGGTTGAGGACTACCTGTATGAAGAAGGGTATAGATTTAGGTGTAAAGCTTTTGCAATGATGGATTTTAATTTTCATTCATTACATTCTAGAACCCTGTTCCCTCTTACTACAGGTAGTCCTTGTTTAGCGACCATTCAAAGTTACACTGGTGCTGAATTGGGAGACTTATCACAGGACTTTGAGTTCCAGCCATCTGCTGCATCCCACGGCCATGTGATTGGAACCCAGCTCACGTTTACAAGATTGCAATGTCCCATGGTCACGTGATCATGATTTCCGACATTTTCTGCAGAAAAGTTGGAAGCTGCGTAATGAATTGCAGTAACGATTCTGATCCCAGTGGTCCTCATGAGCCAAGGACTCCCCATATTCTCATGAAGTTGAGGAAAGCATTTAAATTAAGAAAATAATTTAGTACGTAAGACGAGAAGGTACAGAATCCTATCATCTACACGATCACGTTGGATAATTACATAGAATTAATGCTTACACCCCCATGTTTTTGTTACACACATAGTTCTACACACATAGTTCAACAGTGAAAGATCACCAATGAGTGCTTATATATGAAAACATTATCTAACAAAATAGAAGTAATGGATAAATAGGATTTTTGGAATTATGCACAGAAATGCCAGAAAATGGAAGTTTATAATACTCAAAGCACACAGTTTGGTAATTCATTTGGTTTCCAAACAAATGGTTAATACCGTGTTTTCCCTAAAATAAGAGTGGGTCTTACTTTTTTTTTCCTCCAAAAGAGGCACCAGGTCTTATTTTCTGTGTGTGTCTGTAGCCCTGCTGAGCTGGTCCACTACTTCTGCAGCTGAAGGAGCAGCTTCATTCTGCAGCTGCATCCTGGCCCGCATTTCGCAGTCAGGCCTTTCTGGAAGGCCTCTGCAGCCGAGTACCGAGCTATGGATCAATCCATAGTGTGGTTCTCAGCTGTAGTGCCCCTTCCAGAAATGCAGGCCTGACTGAGAAAAGGCCACGGAAGAAGTGGGCCAGCAAGGAGAGGCCTGGCTGCAAGGTAAGTGGTGCGGGGGTGCATAGGCAGATCCACACACACCATCCCCACCCTAGCTTGATTTTTAAGTGTGTGCCTCACCCCAAAGCTAGGGTTTATTTTGGGGGTAGGGCTTATATTAGGCCCAACCCCCAAAATCAAGCTAGGGCTTATTTTGGGGGGTAGGCCTTACTTTCAGGGAAACAGGATAACAACAAAAACCCATTTCCAAATACAAGCAAAACACAATCTTGGTTCCTGCAAATAAAACGCTAAAAGAATGCTTAATATAACACCGCGGTTGAAACATACCTTGTAGCCAGCAATGCATTCAGAGGCAGTGCGATAATTATGGGGTAGAAATAGCCTATGACAGCTCCTACTAAACTTCCTCTCATCATGGCACAGATTTCACAGTTTAAATTGCCTGAAACAATAATGAACTGAACTGAGTATTTGTGGTTTAAACAATCCTTTCCCAGGAAAAATGCAATGGGCATGCTGCATGCTGATGATGTTCCTCTTGTGGGATTAGGTTAGGTATGGAGCATGTGACATAAAATGCTATGTTCCAAGCTCCACTGGAACATTTAAAGTGGCCTGTAATTCCAGTGGAAGAAACTTCTAGCTTTGTCAAAGGAAATGGACAGTCATTCATTCATTGTTCCATGAGCCATCAATTACCACAGTAATCCATTCCAAGTTCTACTACATGGCCTACAAAGTAATTGGCCCAGGATTATTTTAATTATTTTTAAAGTATGGAAGCACACCTTTAGGAATGTTAACTATCTTAGCCAGTTTTCTGTAGGTTGTATAATAGGTAGCTCCAGGATGTGTATCACCCTTTCTGGTGAACCTAATCAAAACATGAAGGAACATGGAATTATTTCACATTTCTATTGCAGGAGAACACTCAGAACAAGTTTGAACGAGATGCCTAATTTTCCTGGCCTTGGATCGGTCTGAACACAGATTATTTATGCGCCTTTAATCAGTTTTTCTCAGCCAGCCCTGGCAACTTTTAAAATGTGTGGACTTCAACTCCCAGAATTGGCTGGGGAATTCTGGGAATTGAATTCCACATATCTTAAAAAGCTGCCAAGCTGAGAAACAATGGATTAGAGGAACAATACTGTATTTAAAAAGCAGTTTAGTTTGGTTGCAATACTATCAGAAAAACAGAGATTGTTCAAACTACATTGATGCCTGCCCTAATTTTGTTGCTGATGTCTTTTCCAATGCTGCTTTAGTTTTGTCAGTAATTTCTTAAAGAATGTTTCATAAAACAGATTATAAAAGGCTTTGGAAAATACGCATATTGGATGCTTCTGCCTTAGAACAGGCAGAACTTCAGGAGAGTAAAGGCCCACTTCTCCACAAGGTAGCAGAATAAGAGTAAGAGAAAAGAGTAAGCTTAGGACATGCATCTTCATGTAAAAACTTGAGTAATTTCCTCAACTGGAATCTGGTTACCTTGCAATTGAAATATTGCAAGGTGCTGTACATGGATCTGCCATTGAAGGCTATCCAGAAGCTTTGGCTGTTCCAAAATGCAGCAGCCTGAACAGTAATGGGAGCTTCTTGTTATGTCCATGTATCATTGCTGTTGGCACATGGCTTCCAGGCACAATTCAAGGTGCTAGTCATCATGCACAAGTTGACACAAGGCTTCCAGGTGCAATTCAAGGTGCTAGATTTTCACGGAAAAGGGCCTGGCTATTTGAGGGCCCATTTGCATCCAGTCATCTCTACCCATATGAATAGGCAGAATAGGTGTGCTCCAGGTCCAGTCAGTTAACTGTTGTCATCTTATGAGACTCGGGAAGCATGCCTAGTCTGTTGCAGTCCCTAGTTCTTTATTGAAAAGACACAACTTGTAATAAACAGCATTCACCAAAGACACATAATAATGACCACTCTCTTAGCATCCTGGATATTTCAAATTTCTTAAGACATCACTATGTTGGCCTGAATTGGGAGTTTGACCCCTTGTCAAGTCTTTATGAATTCTACTGTTTTGTCTGGGTGGTTGGGTTTCCAACTGTTTTTAAGTTCTGTTTTTGAAATACTGTAAGCTGCTCAGAATCCTTTTGAAAATAGAAGCTTTGAAAGCGGGAATGCATTCCAGCGTCCTAACCAAGCATGATAAAAGGTTAAGTATTTCGGAAATTATTCTAGGAATTGTACAGTGCAGTGAATGGAAAAAAAGAAACTTGTAAGAATTGGAGTTGTAACTTTAAAATACAGCGGCATAAGGTTTATCTCGTCTGGAGCAGTAAGTACCAGGATTTTACTTAACTATTTACTGGTTTGTGGGCATAATTGAAAGAAAGAGGAAACTTGCACATGGAGGATGGAGTCCAATTTGGCTCAGTGAAGGTAAGGTCTGTGCCATGCTAGAAATATCGGAATAGTTATTACAGAAAACTAAAAGCTTACTGAGTTATTTGGATGAAGTCAACACATACCTGTCATCAAAGGGTGTTTTACTATGGCCTCGTAAGCAACTGTAGTTGTGGTGAATGGCATTAAGGACATGGCTGCAACTGCTGAATAACGAGCCTGTGTGACGTGCAGAATCTTCCTAAATGAGTTATTAGATATCAAGGCAAGGAGACTTGAATTGAAGGCGAGGACGAGACCTCCATTTTGGAAGAAACTTCTGTAGAAGAGAAGTTATTATTGCCGCTGCCATCACCAATGACTAGAACACTAACCAGCAGAGTGCATCACACACTATAGCAAAAGAATAAAAAAAAGAAACCAAATACTTTCACTCTGAAAGCCTAAACTAGTATAGAATCTCATGACGTATTCATGAGGACTAGCTTCATGATAGGTACATTTTCTATTAAAAGCAATCGGTTTCATACAGTGGGGGCAATAAGACTATAATTTCTGCTGAAGTCTGACATTTTTAGGCAAACAAAAATCCTATTGAAATGAGCATCCTTTGTCAAATTAGCATCCATTTATTGCCAGCAGAAAATAAAAGAGGCTAACACAGACAATAAGCTTGATTTTTGGTCTTTATGCAGCATTTTCTGCTGTATTCTGGAGGCTCAGAAAATAATCTTTTTTTAACTATTTACACCGCATTATCAGGGTGCAGATTCCTGAGTGTCTTGAAAGCGGACCTGTCAAAAGGAAATTCAGGTAATCCTTGACTTATAACCACAATTGAGCCCAAAATTTCTATTGCAAGCAAGACAGTTGTTAAGTGAGTTTTGCCCCATTTTGCGATCTTTCTTGCCAGTCAGGTGGATCACTGCAGTTGTGGAGATAGTAACATAGTTGTAAAGTGAATCTGTCTTCCCCATTAAAATTGCTCGTCAAATGATCGCAAAAGGCGATCACGTGACCCTGGGACATTGCAATCGTCATAAAAATGAGCACATTGCCAAGCGTCCAAATTTTGATCACATGACCATGGGGATGCTGCAATGGTTGTGTGAAAAATGGTCATGTCACTTTTTTTCAGTGCCGTTGTAATTTCAACTGGTCACTAAACAAAAGGTTGTAAGTCGAGGACTACCTGTACTCAATGGTCAGATATTTGCAAAGTGTTTAGTACTCACTGATCTCGTGCAGGCAATTTTTCAAACATCTTTTCCCAGGTGGCTTCTGAGATTCTTCTTGAATTATTGATCATTTTCTCCATAGGATGGTCCAGAAATTCTTTCCCTGTCATTTTAATCTCTGGAGCATTGAGAAAATAAAGGAGATTAAAAGAGAACATATAAAATAGTATTATAATGCTTCAGTAATGCTTCTTATCAGTATGTTGGATCTCCACTTTTACCTAAGCCTGAAAAAAAGAGTGCTTTTAAGATTCATTTTGGATTTTCAGTAATTCCTTAAAGCAGGGAGGGAAGCTGGAAAATTAAGCTGCTGTAAGGAGTAGCTTAGAAGTTCACTGTTCCTGTTCAAAGTCTGCAGCACTTCCAAAGTATATATACAAAAATAGGGTGCTGTATGTCTTCGCCCAAAGAAGACTCTTTAAATTATTACAAAATAAAACTGTCTCTTGGCATGCACTTAATAAAACAAAAAAATATGTTACAGTGCCATCCCTCTGAGCAATATTTACAAACTACCATTCCAATGAAGGGCATAAATAACTACAGAGGGCCAGTTTCTCAATATCCCATGTAAATATGTGCTCTGTCCTTGCTCCAAGGAAATTATAGGTTTTACCCATTATTTATTGTAGTGCTCTATTTCCCTTCAGCATGTGGAAAATTCCTGGATCCTCTTTTGATAAGGAAATCATTTTGGCCTGATACAGATGAAATTGAATATGTAATGAACTGAGAGAAGGAACAATGCTATGGAAATTAGCAGCTAAACTATATCAAAAGTTTCTAATGCTTTCTGATATTTTATTTGCTGGAATGAGTGTTTTCATGTTTTCACTGTTTTTTTACATTGTAATGTATTTTGTTAATGTTTTTATTAGTGCCACATTTATGAAGGTTTTATTTTTGTTATTACCAATGGCCAAAGCAATAACTAAATTGAAAGCTGTCCAGAGTCACTTGATTGAATTTGGCAGCTATATAAATTGAATAAACAGATTTATTGATAAAAGCCCATTTGTTTCTGAGAGCAACAGAGAACCAAATACATTCTTATACACCAAAATCCTGCTCAAAATCCTATTGTTAAGTCTAAACAGCTGAAACCATCTATGCTGGAAAATGAACTGCAAAAGATCTCAATTTACTTTAATAACTTCCTGAAACACAGATCAATCACTCAAAATACTCTGCTCCAATGCCCTACATTCATTTTTTTCTTTCATTCCTATCTAGTTTTATATGCGCTGGCAAACTGTGAAGATCAGAAGCCCCTCCCTCCCTCCCTCCTCTTTACTTTTACTTTGTTTTCTTTACATTTGTGTTATTTTTAAGATTTAATAAAAAATAAAACTGATTTGAAGATGCAAAGTACATGCACATGGACAATGCTTTTAGGTATGCTAAATCACAATTGCCTTCAAACTGTTGGGAAACATTTTATAAAGTGTTCCTAAACTTTTTGCCATCACACCTCCCCTACAAATCCAAGCCCCGAAATGAACACAAAGAAAAACTGTGAAAACGAAGCCATGAAACTTTTAGAAAGGTGGATTTATCATCACAATGTAGCTAAAAAGGTTCTTCACACCTCCCCTGGACCCGTCTGCACCTCATAGGTTGGGAAACCTTGTTTTAGGGCAACAATTGTCATTTCAATAGTGAGATGGGCAGCATATAAATTTAATAAGTAAATGTTTGATTGTTCTCCGGAGCAGAAGCTGACCTCACATTCCAGTGTTCTGATTTATACTGGAGTTCTTTATCAACCCCAGGGAGATAATCCATACAGATTAGCACAATTTTCCTCCTCACTATCCCTCCCTCCCTTCTATCCCTCCACTCCTTCCTTCTGTTCATCCACTCCTTCCTTCAGAAGGGATCAGGTTGTTCACCAGAGCACCTGAGGGAAGGGCGAGAAACAATGGTTGGAAACTGATCAAGGAGAGAAGCAACCTGGAACTAAGGAGAAACTTCCTGACAGTGAGGACAATCAACCAGTGGAACAGCTTGCCACCAGAAATCATGGGCGCTCCATCACTGGAGGTTTTTAAGAGGAGGCTGGACTGTCACTTGTTTGAGGTGGTGTAGTAGGTACTCCTGCTTAAGCGGGGGGGGGGGGGCTGGACTAGATGACCTCCAAGGTCCCTTCCAGCTCCTATTCAATATTTCTGTCCATCCACTCCTTCCCACCAACCCACCCCTTTCAGCACTAGGTAGTCGGACCCGATGCAGGAGGATCTAACCACCTGCACTGTTTGCAAACTGCGCTGCAGCCATTTCCTTCTTGCAGGTAGCACAAAGTCCTGGTCCAGCAGCGAACCGTCTCGCCCTCCCCTCTTTTACCCGTGGGAATCCCGGGTTAGAGAGGTTTGCTTGCCATCCGTCCTGATGCCCCAGTTGGGCAACGGAAGGTCTTGCAGGCAGCCCACCAAGCCGCAGCTAGAGATGTCTTCCCCGCAATACCAATCCCTGCATTGCACCCGGCTCATGCCACCGGGCGTTGTTCCTAAGGTCCGCGCTTGGCAGGAGAGAAGCCAGCCCGGAAGGCCTCCCAGTTTCTGCAAAGGACAACCGACCGTGCAGGAGAAAAACAAAACAAAACATCGGAGTTTTCCCATCCTCGCCTCCCGGCCCTTTCCCAGCAGCTTCCACCTACGTTTTTATAGGCGCTTCTCTTTCGCTAGCCGCAGCCGGGCCAAGCGGAAAGGCCTCCCCGCTCAGGGTCCTCCTCGCTCAGCCTCCCCGACCCGCCCCGACCCGCCACCGCTCGGGGCTCGCCAAGAGCCGAGGTCGCGGCTCAGCTGGGTCACACGCCGCCCGACGGGGCCGCCATCTTGGCTGCTCACGAGGCCCGGCTCGGATTGGGCGGCTGGGCGAAAGGGGCCGCGCGCGGGAGCCGCCGATTGGCCCGCCCGCGCTCCGGCTCCTCCCACTCTGCCTGCTTGGCCGGCGGTTCCGAGGCGCGTAATCAGCCGGGCCGGAGTCGGCCGCGTTGCTGAGGCGAGGCGGGGCGGAGGGCGATGGCGGTGGCCGCGGCGGGAGCTTCCGCGGGGGTGAGGCTGGCGGCGGCAACGGCGGCAGTACGGTGGTTTCCTCGCAGATGGAGCTGAGCCGGCGCGGGCGAGCGAGCAGGCCGGCTGAAACCGACGGACGGAGCGGCTTTTCCCCTTCCCGACCACGGAGCCCCCCCCCCGATGAGGGCTCAGCCGCCAGCGCGGTAATAATCTCTCTGTAAATAAATCCCCCTGTAAATCCTTCTTCGGGGCGGACCCTGGGTTCATCCCTCCGCTTGGTTTGTGGCCCGGACTCCACTCCCCATCGTTCCCAGCCGGCGTGGCGGAGGGGGCGTGTCTGGGAGAGCGGGGTCAATCCCTCCAGCACAGAAGCCCATCCTTCCCAGCAGCCTGTCCTGAGATGTCAGGCTGCCCCTCCCCTGGCTCGCAGCCTTTGCAATTGACTGGCATCCTTCCAAATGGCTTGGGACTATCGGGCCAATGGTAGTCCTCTCTGGACTACCATCCCCATCATCCTGGATTGGCAAAGGTGGGGGAGGTGGGTCGAGACTTTGGGTTGGGGAAGGAGACTTGCTCCTGTGGTCCATTTTTTTCCACAAAGAAAGTTGGGCTCTTTATTTATTTATTTGTTTATTTTATTTATTTATTAATAAAATTTATTTATTAAATTTATATACCGCCCTATCTCTTGATTTGATTTTGATTTGATTTTGATTTGATTTTGATTTGATTTTGATTTGATTTTGATTTGATTTTGATTTTATTAAATTTATACCCCGCCCTTCTCCCGGAGGACTCAGGGCGGCTTACAGCCAGTTTAAAACAATGGTACAGTACAATACAAAATTTAAAAAAGATTAAAAATAACTATTCAAATTTGGCCGCTTCTACTAAAAATTTAATTTAAAACCCCTATGACTTCTGCCTCCTGCCTCCCCCCCCCATTTCGACATCCCCCTTTTTAAGTTTTTTGTCACTTTCCTACATCCCCCCCCCCCTTGCAGCTGAATCCCCTTTCTTTATTTCTTTAGCTTGCATATTTTATCCCTGGCTTGAATCTTGCTTCGTCCTTGCCTCCATCACTTGACACTTCATTTTTATCATTTACTCCCACCCACTTTGCAGCCTGCTTAAAGCATCTTCCCCCACCCGTGATCATGCAACCTTTTTTGGGGGCCTCCATTTATATACTTCTCTCCTTGGATGAAGCATTCACTTATCTCAGGGTGTTTTTTTTTCCCCTCCTTGTTTTACGCCTCAGTGAACAGCTTGCTTCACCCAAAGTGTGTAACCAAATTAGCTAAAGAGCTAGCTTGTTATGTTTTAGTTCAGTTTTTATGACTTAACCTGAAGACTCAGCTCTTCTGCAGATTCTGCTGCAGTGCACTGTGCTAATCCAGAAGATGAATTAATTTGGTAACCAAGTGGAGCATTCGAGGTATTCATTCATTTATTTGATTTGTACAGTTGTCCACCTCACTTTTACGTGAGGGGCCCTTGGTGTTCTCTGATCTTGCTTGTTTTCTTGCAGATGTTTCATTACCTAAGTTGGTAACATCAACAGTTTGTCATCAGTATACGTTTATGTGAGTCTAGGAGACTTACCATAAAATACATAAATGCACAATGTAAAAATAGAAAATAAGAATAACCACAAACAGCAGGTCATAATATAATCAATCAGCCAGACAGCCAGGAGATGGGCTCTCTGATATACCCAGGATTATAGACTTGGACACAAAGTCAAGCTTTCAAGGCGTTACAAAATTCCAACAGGTTTAGGACCACTACTCCTCAACCACGGACTGTTACTAGTCCATGACTTGTTAAGAACTGAGTTGCACAGCTGGAGGTGAGCAGCATGGAAGTGAGTGAAGCTTCATCTGTATTTGCAGCCACTCCCCAGCGCTAGGTCCACCTCAGCTCATCAGGCATTAGATCAGTGTTTCTCAACCTTGACAATTTTAAGGCATGTGGACTTCAACTCCCAGAATTCCACAGCCAGCATTGCTGGCTGTGGAATTCTGGGAGTTGAAGTCCACATGCCTTAAAATTGTCAAGGTTGAGAAACACTGCATTAGATTCTCATAGGTGGGTGAACCCTACTGTAAACTGTATGTGAGGGATCTAGGTTGCGCAGTCCTCCTCTTCCCCTCCGCCCTGTCCGTGGAAAAATCGCTTTCCACAAAACTGGTCCTTGGGGATCACTGATCTAAAGGGTGGGTGTTATGGCAGAAAAGGATCTCCTCTCGGCCCCACCAGCTGATACTTCGTAGCTGACGATGCGCAGAGCATGTGTCTCCTGCCACTTCAGATAGGATGGGTAGAAAAGATCCGTTCAGTTCCACCAGCAGGTTTCCGTTCACCTTCTCTGTGTAAACCTTGTCTAAACATTGACCCACCTGTCTCCCTTGCTTCTGATCGCAGTCCCATCATGCTGATGATTCTTGCCATTTTGTTCCTCTGCATATTTCTCCACCTTTCATTTTCTCCCCTGATGCACCCTGACTCACCCAGAAACTCATTCTCATGTAGTCTGTTGCTGTATTCATATTCTTCTCTATAACTCACCTCTGCTTCAGGAGCAGTTCTTTCCTGCCAGTTTTCCTTGCTGCCTCTTAAAATCGTTTTTTCGGTTGTCTCTCTCTCTCTATGCCACCGGGCACATCCAGCCTTCGCTGGGGCCTGCTGATGTAGGATCCTTTCAGATTTTGGTATCTCGATTCATTTTCTTAATGGTCCTCCATTCCCCGTTGAAAATGCACACACATTGCGTATTGCACAGGTCGGCAACCTGCGGCTCCAGAGCCGCATGTGGCTCTTTGAGCCTTCCCCTGCGGCTCCCAGCCTCCTCTGCCATTGGCAGAGAGAGACAGAGACAGAGAGAGGCACTTGAGCTTCC